TCAAACTTTTAAAGATTGAAAGAAAACGTTTAAACGTTACAGGCAACGTCTGAACGTTGAAATCAAGTTTAATTACACTTTTGAACAAGTCGAAATCTCAAGCCATTTCAGGAACTTTTTCCTATTCTCGCGGAATGTGAACCTCTCCAAACTCTCGTTGTCGTTTGAGTATCTCTCATGTTTCCCAAGTGTCTTAGCGATCATGTCCGGCTTAAGCTATGTATAGTGATGAAAATCCGGGTCCAGCTTACGTAATCTGTGGCAATGAAAATCCGTTTCCTCTGCTGAAAGGAAAATCAGGTCGACTCTCAGGCGCGAGCATATTACCACTATTGCATATATAATCATTATTATCGATAGAATCTGTAGCTAATGCTAACACAACATCGAAAATCGTTTTCTTCTTGAGGTATTTCTGAGTAATCTGTTTAAATAACGCTACTTAAGTCGTATATCTAGGGTTACCCCTCAGCAGCCATGACTGGAACTGAAGAAAGCAACCCACGCTTATCTGCGACTTGCGACCGAATGACGCCAATAATACTTTAATAGTTTAGTTTGATCATGTTTTGAAAAGGTTTTGATTAACTGCGGTCCCCATGGGAAGTTCTAGTACTTGGCTATTTTCGGCGGCGATTCGACGTAGTTCCTGTAAGAGATCCGCTCAATATTTCTGGAAATCTGCTATGTTTTGAAATATCAAAGATGAAGCTTCATCGGCCATTTCTGTTTGTGTCTCTGTTTTATTTTTTCTGTTAAAGGTTAAAGGATTAATCTGACTATTGCATAATAAGAAAATTGCTTTTAAGAAATGCACCCACTTACACTTTCTAGTGAATCTGCTTGGTGTCATCGATACGTTTAATGGTTCAGCTTGATCACGTGTTGAAAAAGTTCGGAATAACTGCGGTCATCATAGGTAGTTCTAGTACTCGGATATTTTCGGTGCTTCGACGTACTTTCTTTGAGAGGTCCGCACAATATTTCCAGAACATTGTTATGTTTGGAATATAAAAGCCGAAACTTCGTAGTCCATCGGCTATTTTCGGTGATACGACGTAGTCTCTTTGAGAGGTCCGCACAATATTTCCAGAAAATTGTTATGTTTGAAATATAAAAGCCGAAACTTCGTAGTCCATCGGCTATTTTCGGTGATACGACGTAGTCTCTTTGAGAGGTCCGCACAATATTTCCAGAAAATAGTTATGTATGAAACATAAAAGCCGAAGCTTCATCGTCCATTTTTTTTCTTTTGTTTCATTTTCCGGTTAAAGGTCTAGGAAGTTATCTGACCATCACGTAATAGGAAAATTACATTTATTGAAGACAAAAAAAAACAAAACAAAAAAAATACTCACGCGCACTATCCAATTAATCTGCTTGGTATCTGAAGCTTTTAATTATGTATTTTACCTTGAAGTAGGTAAAATCGTCAAGATATTGAGTTTTATAAGAGCACTTAGTAATTACAATTTACTAATGATGGATTTACGGTTACTAAACTTTTAGTTGTACGCAAGAGCTACAACACAATATTTTACTCATTTGGTTAGTTTCGTTTTATTATTCAGCTTTCCCTGTTATAAACGCACAATCGCTCAGGAGAAATACACAGGCGATGATGAAACATCAGCTCTGTAATGATGATAAGTAAAACGGCGACGAAGTGTTTTTTTCTGCGCGATAATTAAGTTTTTTTTTCTACGTGATAGTTAAGTACTTTTCTTTTGTACTTAAGCCGGAAAAAGAGGAATACTGTAAGATCTGTTGCCCTCCCGCCTTGTTTTGTTTTACTCTCCAAAAATACCCCCTAAGAGGTAGGGCGAAGTACCTTAAATTTCAGACACTGTGATCGTTTACAGCAATGGAAACACAAAAAAACCTTTGTTTTCTCAGGATTTAATATCGCATGATTTTACGATTTACTGCTGAAATACAGCAAATGTAATATTGGAATCGGTGCTCAAAAACTTCGTCAGTTTCCTTCCTGGTGGCCCTCCACTTGTTTTGATTTACGTAACCATCATTGCTGCAAACTAAAAATTCTGACAAAGATTCATACCGCTATTCCTTCTAGAAGCCATCACGTCCTTCAACTTTGGAAACGCACCAAAACAAAACACTTGAACTTCTAAGGATCTGTGACCCCATAACTTTATGCTTGTTAGTGAGTGGGGAGTGAAGCTTTCAAAGCACAAGACTCCATCATCAACATCATATCAAGAAATCACTTTTCTAAAGAGGAAACTGAACTTTATCTCAGAATCAGTGAGGCTCTTGATTGTTACGACCCCTGAGAAGTGTTGATAGCCATTCTTGGCTATCAACATTGCTGATCCTAGACAAGTGTACGACGTTTGTCACCTATGTGAACCTAATAATGCACTTAAAACTCATTACTGAGCTCTCTGAAGCTCAGCGGTAGAGCATCGGAACACGAAATCCGACGATGTAGGGTTTGATTCCTCCCGGAGGACTCAGGTCTTATTCCTTTGTTGTTTGCTTGTGACAAATGATTTTCATTCGACGAACGAGCACAAAACTTGCTATTGTTCTTATTTAACCAGCTAACTTTTTACGTGATCTTATTGATCACATACAAATAACGCCTTGGTCTGACACGTGTCACAAAATGTCAAAAACGTTTTATTATGAAGGAAAATAATGGCGAAAGAAAAGCAGATACTGCGTGTTTGTTGGTACTTTTGTGGTCTTTATGAGTGGCTTGGTGGCATATGTCTAATGGAATACTAATTTGAAATTCTTACGACTTTATCGGCTTTGTTCAGCTTTTAAAAAGTTCAACTGGTGCGCGAAACGAGTGCAAATATCGTAACGATATTCGTGCTTCTGGGCAGAAACGTTTTTTTTAATGTATATTCGTGCTTGAGTCTGGGCAATGCATACAGTTGTAATTGTGAAAAATAAGATTAATAATGCGAAATTTCTCCTTTGAAAGTGTTAATATTCCATTATGTTCGTAATGGCACGCCCTTTTCGTGTCTTTAGGCTTAAACTACATCAGGTATGATTTATATATGATGTCACTATCGTCACAATGAGTCTTATAAAGTTTGTATTGGCCAGTTTACGAACGACCTTCTTGATGGGACATCGTTTTGCTATATTGTCTCAGTTTTGCGAGCCTTTATGAACACTAGTCTTATATCACATGGCTAAGGTAAGATCTTAACGGTCAAGTGATTCTTCATCAAGTTAAAAATCGCAACCAGGGTATCTTCGGCAGATATGAGTAGCCGGTTTATGTCTATCGATAACTTCTGTTGAACATGGGTTGTGAAACGCACCGACGGGGATGAAAATGATCAAAGATTTCATACTTTGATTCTTCCGCGTTCGCGTGACTGATTGCGTTTTCCCAAGTTTCATCCAGTGAGGTTCCCCACCCACCCCTCCCCTCTTCCACTCAAAGCTCTCCAAGCTACTCCTTGTAGAATTCACATTCGCTCTGTTGAACGTCGTTTCTTTATTCTTAGTTCCGGTTTTACGACTCTCAGTAGAAAAGCTTTGTATTTTAATAGAGTAGTGTTTTTGATAAGAGATCCGATGTGAAAAATTTGCTTTCCCATTTTAGGTTGCACAAGCTGTGCTGGAGCATGAATGACAATGAGGTCCAGAGATGGACGAAAAGTGATGACATGACACTTGTGGAAAGGTTTGGTGAATGACTTTTAATCCATTCGAAAAAAAAAACCAATAGATTTTACATGATCTAAACTTGAAGAAGATGGATGATGAATTTTGAGCTTTGTCACAAAATGAAGAAGATAGAAGCTTCTTACTCATGGTTCTCATATGGCGCTCAGGCTTTCGTCATTGATTATACCATTGTTATGCAGAACTCGTATATTTCTTAGTTTGTATGACTCTGAAGTCGAGGAAGAATGTGATGTGGGGTATTATTTCTATTTTATTTCTATAGTCTTGAATCAAAAATGAGATTTTCTATACAACAATAATCGTAGATTTGTTTTAAGTTTAACCGTCTTCCTTTTGGTACCCTCTCTTCTTCTAAATACACCAAATTAGTATGTCTTTTTGTCTAGGAAGGGTATTCGTGTATATAGGGTTTCTTAAAATCACTCGTCAGTGTTCCAGGTGCCCTAAATCTTTTTTGCTCGTTTATTTGTTTGTTTTTTTACAATTGCAGTAAATACTCGCCACATTTTCTTTGCCATAAATATTTAAATCTCAAGAAGAGCGTACCCAACTACCAACTGTTAAACTTTGAAGGTTAGTGAAATGTTTTACAGTGTCATACAATGCTCGTTTGATTTTAATCAAGTTTTTTTTTATGCTCTAGTCTTGCTAGCTGTAATTGCAAAAGTGACTATCACTTTGTAGTTATGAGTTCTCTCCTCTTCTCCTCAACATTTTCGTTGTAGCAACTTACATTTGGGAAACAATGGCTTGAAGAGAACTTAAAATCTCATGCGTTCTTCCATTCAGTACATTTCTTCGTTCACAGATTTTTTCTGATTCTTCCTTGTTGTATACAAGCTCCCCTCGTGCTTGCTTTCTGCAATCTTTTCCTTCTTCAATGTTGTTTACTGTTGGCTTGGCCTTGTTTGATTACCTGGTTTTCCCCCTAGAAATTGTGGATTATCTGTACCAGCTCTTTGTAAGAGCTATATTGGAAGCCGAGGCACAACTGGACAGCGGATTGCTCAGCGACCAGACAGAGTAGTTACAACCTGTGTTTGCCATTGTGGCTACATGACCCAGAGAAGACAAATTTCAGAGAGGAGATATTTTTTTATTTCCAGGGGAAAAAATGGAATTTTCGAGTGGATTATAGTAGCATTTCCGGGATTTGCTATATAGGCACACTATGTGCTGCGCGTTATTTCCATGACATTTTTTTAGTGACTGCAATCCCATAGTCAGCAGACGTATATTCTGCAAGAAGTTTTGTCCTTCGAGAAAAGCGTAGCAATTAATTTGATCCTTCTCATCCCGTTTTTTCTCTTCAATTTCCTTTAATTGCTGGCTGTGATTTTACAAGAGCTTAAAAATTCACGCAGACTGCTTCGCATCCCCTTATTTCTCCAAACGTAAATTCCTGGATTAAGACAGCTGTTCAAGAGAACTGCTGTCTCGCCAATAGGATAAATCACGTGATATAAAAGGTTTCTTGGTGCCAAGCTAGCCTGGTCGACAATGGTGGCACAGAGGGTCGGTGTGAAGCACAGGAACAAAGTTCCAGCCACAAACGCCACTGTCTTGGATGCTTTGGCTTCTCGAGGACTTGAGTTCCCTGGTGAAGAAGGCTCTTGGGAAGAGGATGCGGAAGTGTTGTGCGACAACTCTACGTTAACCTGGGCGTTACAGCGCTTGACCAGCCTAAATATCCTAAAGTACACAAACGACGTGATGATGAAATTTGCGATTATTACGAGAGATATCACTCCTATTTCCTCATTGCTGTTTATCCCGAACAAGAATCTCACAGTTAGCAGTGTTCCAATCGAGATCACCCAGATTGTGACAGTGACTGTAATCAGACATTTGGAGTTGACCTTCTCAACATAACGATACGGATAAAATACTGCCATGTATCTCTCAAGCGAGATCAAAATCAATGTCAGAAATGACATGCAGATACATATCACTCCAGAGAACGAGTAAATAAGTAGCTTGTCGCACGGAAAGTCAGCGAAAGCAGTGGTCAGTTTGCTTGTTTGATAAATAATATATGAAGGTTGAACAAACGCGCCAACCGTCAAATCTGTCAACGCAAGGCACAAAATGGAGGTATTTGCTACATTTCGAAGCTGAGGCTTTCTGAGCACAGCCATAAAGACTAAGACGTTGCCAACGATTGTTAACGGACATGTAACACCGTTTAGAACACACAGCACTAGAGTCACGGAGCGGAACAAATCAGTTTGAGGAAAGGGAACCATTTTAAGACTTGAGAATCCGATGTCTCCGCATACAAACCTCTCGGTTGGGTTACTAACATTCAGTGCTTTGATATATCCTTTTTCCATTGTGACCTGAATCTTTTCCGGGCTGTTGTTGAATGAAGTTGTTCAGTCTGAGGCAAAATATTTTAAAATTGAATTTACGAAGAATTGAAACACGTACGAAACAAGACAACTGTGAGCCTGATATGTCTTGTAACGATGCGCGTGTTTAGTCTGTCAATAATTTCCGCAGATACGTACACATTTGCCGCATGTTAAAAATTTAACAAGGTTTAGGTGTTAAAATTTTTTCATCTCCTCTGTTTACACAGGAATATACAAACCCGGCCGGCTGTCTATCTGTGCAAACTTTCGTTTGACGCGCTCTTTGTCATTTCAGTAAGTTACAGAGATATAAGATTAAGTGTCAAAAAGGTTACTCGTCCATCACATCAGCAAACTCCCCCAAAAGTTTGTTGTAATTTGAAACTGAATTGATAGGCTCCTTTGTCCAATCATCGTTGTTAATAAAACTTATCCGGTTTGCGCTAATGTATGCAAATATTCTAGTCTAATTACAGACTGCTGGGTTTTGCAGACGTATTATTCCTACAGAAAGGATTTAAATGCATCAAGGACTATTTCTTAGACGCACTTTGCTTAGCTTTGATACTTACAAAGGAAATGAAATTAGAAAAATTGTGCAATCATTTGCCCCCATTTTTTGTACTTTAAACAGATACTGCTCATGTTATGACGAGATGAAACATAAGTACTTCCTATAGTTCGTAATGTAAAAGAAAAATTAATTCAAAATACAGTATGGGCCAAACATATTAAAGGTAAGATACTCTGTCGATACAAACCCTTTTTTTTTTTTATCTTATTCTCAAGGAACACTCGTCATCTTAGAACATATCTTAAATGCGCATGTTCGTAAGCAACACTTCTTGGACATGGAATTTTTTTTGTTTACACTTAAATTATTTCGCAATACGTTGCAAGCTTTCCTAATTACTCTCATCTTCGGAAATAATTTTTTTTAAGGTGAATGCGTGGAAACTGTACTCGTTATCGACGGCAAAGTGGTTAGGACGCTACAACGACAGTACATTGGGGCTGCTTGGAAACACCTAAAAATCGGAGTGTACGAGCCCATCCTCCTGCAAAATTATACAAATATAAGGACATTTTTAAATTTGAAAAAATTAGAAAATCCTTTTTTTTTTTTTCAATTTTAATTTCTTCAGCACATTTTTTTATAGCTTGTGTTAAATTTTTTGAGCGACATGCGATAAAACATTAACTCCAATTCAGCGGTCAAACTTTTGGCATGCGCAAGGAGATCGATTTTGGCTGCCTGCGTTTCAATTTCCCGCGCAAAATTTCAAAGAAAACAGGAGAATATAGCTGCGGCACAAGATGAGCGAAAGATAATTTAAATGCTCCTAGCCAGAAATCTGTAAAATCAGCTAAAGTAGGGAGAGATTAATAGATAAGATAAATGGTTTATCACCGCTTTGCAACTAAAACATTGAATTGTGCGATTATTAAAAAAAATATATCAATAGTTACATTAAAAGGACTACCAGTAGTTTATAATAAGTTTGCAAAAAATTTTGTTTTTGTATATCTGTTACGTTTGTAAATAAAATATGTCGAATAAGTATAAAAGTCTAGTAGAAAAAGTTTAGGTTAAAAGGGCATTTAAAATGATAAAACTGTTGCGAAGTCTGTTCGTCTTGAACACGGGCCTAAACTTCCGTTTGTTTCTTATGTTCAAAGTATTTGTGTTAAAGGTAGAGTAAAGCCGGTCATGAAGCTTGTTCTGTTCGCTCTGAATAGTTTTCTTGAATAGTTTATCAACTTGTTCCTGACGGCGGTCTGAAAGTTTCATTAGGCCTGATTTAGCCGATGCCTCTTTATATGAGCAAAAGGGAAAGATGATTCGCATAGCCCGCTTTTGTACTCTTCAAGTTCGTTGGAGAGGCATGTAGGGAGACCGTTATGAAAGACGTGACATGCATACTCCGTGATCGGAAGAATGCAAGAGCAGGCCTGAAACCGAACTAACTCACGGATACCAAGACCGAGAGCGTTTAAGCTGAGATAAGCTATACAAGCGCCTCTTGGCTTTCTTGATAATGTTGTAAATGTGGCAGTTCCATCTCAAATCCTTGGATATGTTGAGGCGTACTATTTTGGCACTGGCAGCTAGATCAATAGGCATACCATCAACAACAACTGGATCGAATAAAGTGGTGTTGTTAGTGTTGAAGTTTATACGCAGTTCCTTGCATGTCGTCTCGTTAAGTTGAAAAAGTTATCTACGGACACACGGTTTGCCAGGATGTCAACAGCGGCTTGGATATAACTCTCTTTTTTCTTTCTAATCGTCTGCGAAATTGTGGTATCGTCAACATATTTCCAGAGATCGGTGCTAGAAACATTTAGCTCGTTGATCATAATGATAAACAGCCACTGCCCCAGTTTTGTACCTTGAGGAACTACCGCCGGACTGCGCCCCATTACGAAAAGCAGTTAGGGCCGAGCTTAACTCTTTGTTTGTGCGAAGTGAGGAACTCGGTGATCCAAGGGATGACAGCCTCAGGGATTATAGTCTCAAGCGTGCCTGTTTTCTTTTCACATGACTTTTTGCATCTTGCGTGGCGACCAAGGTCGACTTCGTGGAGATAAGTCCGCAAAGCCAGATGATGTGGTGGCTGCAGGTCACTTGATTTCAACAGAATTTTAATTCTTCTCAGGGGAATAGAAAACTCTAGACTTTTCGAACACGACGCTTCTTCAAGTTATGGTATCCTGTGATTTACCATTCAGTGTTTTGAGCTTTATCAAAAAAAGTTACGCTTCTAAAACTGGCTCCTTTGGTTGTTTGTACCTCGTCGTGGACAACACAGTTCGGACAGCGTGAAAGCGTTACAGCGTTGAAGCGTTCGCACAAGCAGAGAAGTTTGACCGCTGTATTCGTAAACTATAACGTGCCAAGTTCTTCGTCGTCGTAGGGAACTCGTAAATCTGGTGAATCAAGGCAAGTCCAAAGCCAGAGGTAAAATTTGTATAAATTATGATGTGCTTTCAGAACACTGACAAGGTTTTAACATTATTATTAATGATTAGAGTGGTTTAGCTGTAAATGACGATGAAGCCATGTTGCGCTATTTTCAGCAATCTCCGCCAGAGTGTTTTTTACGTCTAAATTCTCCCACAATCTGACAGAGTTATCAATAGCCACTAGTCTAAAACCAAACAGTGAAAGATGAACCCGTGGGAGCCACCCTTTTAGAGTTTGTACCCTCAGGGTACAGAAAGAAGATTTGTAAGTTTTCTTTCTTCCAACGAACAATCAATGAATGAAACTCCCTTCCCGAAGATGTTGTAAATACAAGGTCCGTATACAGTTTGAGATCGAAGTTAGTCAACAGCTTTTAATATTTTACTGTAGTTTTTATTCAGAACTTATCTTATTGCATGATTTTAAGCTTTTAGACCTCTAACATTATTATTTATTTTTATCTATTTATTTATTTATTTGTTTTACATTGTTGGTGTGATATCTTACGACTTAACAGACTCAATAACGTATCATCATTTTGATGTTTTCTGTTTGTTTTTCTATTTCGCTGAGATAATATATTTGTAATTTTCGTCACACTGATTCACACGATAATCATGCAAATAGCAGGAAATAAAACGGCAAAGAAAATATCGTGAACCGCGTCAATAGGACCTCGTAGCTTATTTGTTAAGATGTTTTTTTAACGATGGAAAAAGGTGAAAAGTACTTCCCTTAAAAGGGGAACATTAAATCCACTGGTAATTTGAGGGAAATTTGCGTGACTTAACGGACAGCGAACTATTTATCAGCAGGCTGATGACGCAAATGTTTGAACAATTTTTCTATTTTCATTTCCTGTGTAAGTATCAGAGCTTTTGCCACCGATAGTTTCAATATTTGAGTAAAGAAATGGTCGAAGTGATTTTGCTGGAAGCCATGCGAGTCGTCCTCTTCAAGAAATGAGCTTAGCCTTTTCATGCTCAGGAGTGCGTGACGAATGGGTTCTTTGTAGATTTTCAATCGCGTGACACTCCAGTCGACATTGTTTAATTTTGTTTGAAACTTAAAATGGCGAACGCACGGAAGCTGTTATTTACGGAAGGGTCTGCGCGGAGGCTAAGAGGTAGGGCGAAGTACCTTAAATTTCAGACACTGGGATCGTTTACAGCAATGGAAACACAAAAAAACCTTTGTTTTCTCAGGATCTTAATATCGCATGATTTTACGATTTACTGCTGAAATACAGCAAATGTAATATTGGAATCGGTGCTCAAAAACTTCGTCAGTTTCCTTCCTGGTGGCCCTCCACTTGTTTTGATTTACGTAACCATCATTGCTGCAAACTAAAAATTCTGACAAAGACTCATACCGCGGTTCCTTCTAGAAGCCATCACGTCCTTCAACTTTGGAAACGCACCAAAACAAAACACTTGAACTTCTAAGGATCTGTGACCCCATAACTTTATACTTGTTAGTGAATGGGGAGTGAAGCTTTCAAAGCACAAGACTCCATCATCAACATCATATCAAGAAATCACTTTTCTAAAGAGGAAACTGAACTTTATCTCAGAATCAGTGAGGCTCTTGATTGTTACGACCTCTGAGAAGTGTTGATAGCCATTCTTGGCTATCAACATTGCTGATCCTAGACAATCGTACGACGTTTGTCACCTATGTGAACCTAATAATGTACTTAAAACTCATTACTGAGCTCTCTGAAGCTCAGCGGTAGAGCATCGGAACACGAAATCCGACGATGTAGGGTTTGATTCCTCCCGGAGGACTCAGGTCTTATTCCTTTGTTGTTTGCTTGTGACAAATGATTTTCATTCGACAAACGAGCACAAAACTTGCCATTGTTCTTATTTAACCAGCTAACTTTTTACGTGATCTTATTGATCACATACAAATAACGCCTTGGTCTGACACGTGTCACAAAATGTCAAAAACGTTTTACTATGACGGAAAATAATGGCGAAAGAAAAGCAGATACTGCGTGTTTGTTGGT